TTCACGAGCCAATTTTAAGGTATATAAACTTCATCATACTTAGAGGGAAGTCTGGAAACCAGTGAAAGCCCATTTCAAAGTGACTTCTCTAGGTCTCCAGACTTGGAGTCATTTTACCAAGATACAGCCATTTTTTACCCCCTTTGGTGGTGGTGGTGCTGGGAATTGAACACAAGGCTTCATGCAGGMCCTCTATCAGTGAGCCAAATCCCTAGCACTTCCCTCTTTTTAAAAATTTAAATTGAGACAAGGTCTCACTATGTTGCCCAGACTGGCTWCAAACCTGCAACTCTCCTGCTTCAGCCTTCCAAGTTGCTGGGATTATAAGTGTGAGCCACCATGCCCAGCTCAGGAAACACAATTTAAATTAGATATATATTTAATAAAATGAGATCAAATGGTATGTACTGTTTTGTAATTTATGCTGACACTTAACAATTTGGGGTAAACATAATACATAACTAAAATTGTATCAATGGCATTTTGGTCAGTCCTTTAYAATTTTTTGTCTCATACTTAAGTTAACTGACTCACTATTGCAGAAATTTAGGTTGCTTTCAATTTTCATTATTATAAAAAAGACTGTGATAAACTTTCTTGTACCTAACACTTTTTGAACTTCCTTAACTATTTCCTTAGAATTTATTTCCAGAAATGGAAACCTGGATCAAAATATATGCCTATTTTTAAGATTTTTGAAATAGATTGCAAAATTTATCATCAGAAAGACTGTCAATTTCATTATTATTAACATTGTATGAAACTGTTCATTTTCTGAACCTGCAATGACGTTAGATACTATTTTTAACTTTTTATCAATTTGATAGGCAGAAATAAATAAAACTTCAAAAGGATCTTTTCTCATTTGGGGTTGTACTTCCTTGCTTTTAAACACTACTTTCATGTCTTTCTTTATTTCTCTTTGTGAATTGTACCTTCATGTTCTTTGTCTATGAGATGTACACTTTAGGGATTTCAAAGTTAACCTTTCAGCTGGCACTACAGACATTTATGCTGTTCAACTTTAAAATATTTTAGTTTTTATTTTTATCAAACTTACATATAGTTTAAAGATCAAACAGATTTTATAAGGCTATTATAAAAGCCCTGATCACTCCACCATCATAATTTTCTGCTCTCCATAATCAACCAATTTCAGCCTTTTTAATTGCTTCTTTTAGTAGTTTTCTCCATATCACTAAGTAACATGCTTATTTATTGATTTTTTTTGTATTGTTTTGGGCAATATTAATTGATTTCTTTCAATGGATGTTTCATGTCATTYCAGGCTCTATCAGTTTAGAAGAGCTTCTATCCTTTAGGATCAGTTTGAGTAATTTAAATGCATTTTCACACAGCTCAAAATTATCCTTCTACAGCACAGACCTCCTACAGACTCTTGTTATCCAGGATTTGTTKCATTTTGTTTTATTAATTCCACTAATGAGAAATTATAATTTTTCATGAATTCCATGTTTTCTTTGTTCATTATGTCTTCTTGTATCTGATATCTGTCATCTACAATTGTTTTTCTTCTATTTGAAATCAGTCCTCTATAATTTCCTTTAGTGAGTGTAGTTGATAAACTCAGTTTTGACTGGACATTTTCTTACTTGATAATTTTAAGATATTTTTGGAAAGGTAGTTTCTCTGAGTATATAATTCTAGTTTCTTCTCTTTCTTAGCACATTGAAAATATTTATCTACTATCTTTTGGTTTTCCATTATTGCAGTTGAAAAATCATCTGTAAGCCTAATTGCTATCTTCTATAGATAATCTTCCATATTTTTCTTTTGGTTGCTGGCTGTGTTGTGTGTGTGTATATGTGTGTGTGTGTGTGTGTGTATGTGTGTGTGTGTGTGTGTGTGTGTGCACGTCTGCATTTATTTATTCTCTTAAGATTTTGTTGGACTTCCTTAATTTCAGGATTTATGCTTTCAGCTACTGTCTTTTTGAATATTTCCACTTCGGCTTTCCTTCTCTTCTCCTAGACCTCAAGGTAGACCCATGTTGGACTTTCTCACTCTTCCTTCCTTGTCTATTAACCTTTTGTTCATATCTTCTTTTTATCTCATTCTTGGCATTATCTACCTTCTAATTCTTTCTTCAGCTATATCTAATCTATTGTTGAGTTTAATTTCAACTATATTATTCATTTCTAGAATTTTAATTAAGGCTTATTTCAAATATCCTTGGCATTATTTATGGCATCTTTTTCTTTGTTCTGAATTAGAAGTTTTTGCTTGCCTACTTTGCTGACTTCTGCTCATGGATGCCTTATTTCCTTGTATATTTTATGATTTTTGATGCAATCTCTTATTCACTGGATTTTATTAGTAGTGGGCTAAGGCTTATTTCAAATATCCTTGGCATTATTTATGGCATCTTTTTCTTTGTTCTGAATTAGAAGTCTTTGCTTGCCTACTTTGCTGACTTCTGCTCATGGATGCCTTATTTTCTTGTATATTTTATGATTTTTGATGCAATCTCTTATTCACTGGATTTTATTAGTAGTGGGCTGGGGCTGTAGCTCAGCAGCAGAGTGCATGCCTGGCACATGTGAGGCCCTGGGTTCGATTCTCAGCTCCACATAAAAGTAAATAAATAAAATGAAGGTATTRTGTCCATCTATAACTAAAAAATATTTTTTTAAAAAAGATTTTATTGGTAGAAATTGGTTAGAAGATATGCTTTCTRGAGAATATTAACATTTGTTTCTGCCAGGTACTTGGAGGCACTATCAGGATCACTCCCTACCTCTCCATTATTTATAGTATGAATGTAGCCAGGTAGGCACATTTGAGATATAATTTACATACTATAAATTCTTATTTTTTAGAGTATAGTTCAGTGGTTTTCAGTATATTCACAAGGTTTAAGACCACTTTTAAGTACATCCTCAACTCTAGGTTCAGACTACACAGGTAATATAAATTTGTGCTGCACACCCACATGAGGGCTAGCTTTATGGTTACAAATTCTTGAAGAGATGAAGTTTTTCTTTCACCTACAACCAGGATAAAGGGCTAGGTTTCCTTTTTGTCCCTACTTCATGGCAGGTTTGTTTCTTCTATTTGCCCTACACCCCAGGGATAGTTGTTTGGAGTCCCAGCTCTCTCTCACAGTGGTTTTCTTTTAGATTCCCTCCTAGAGAGTGAGTCTCTCACCTCCTGCATCCCTGAAGCCCTCAGAACAAAAGTTCAGGGTCACAAATGTTGAACAGGTACCAATTTCAGTCTTCATTCTTCTCTCTGGTTTCCTAATTTGGGTTCATTTGGGATCTCAGAAGATTTGATTCTTAACTTACCAACTCAGCAATACATTTAGACATATTTATAAAAACTATTTTATTTAGCATCTTAGTTGTTGATAGTGGCAGGATTATTGAGGATACTGCAGGAATATGGTCTGCCTTTTAGTTTTGTTTATAGTGTATTTTTTTCTTTCTTACATTAAAAAAAAATGTACATGTAATGGTGGGAATCAAATCCAGTGCTTCTTACGTGATAGGCAAGTGTTCTACCACTGAGCTACACCCCCAGCCTCTTTCTTACATCCTTAGTCTCCTCCTGCAGAGAGAGCATGGTTTATTGTGAGCCATGTCCTGTCTGTGTGTGGCTATTCTTTTCTTCTTGGAAACTGAAGTGGAATTCCTTGAGCTAACCGGGGTCTAGGACTTTTACTTTTGTTCTCTGAAGGGGACAGAGCTGCTTCCTCTAAGGCCAGCCACACCYCCCAGTGGCGGTGTCTCACATTTGTTTTAAGTCTATACTAAAGCTAAGTTCATTTCCTTTCCTTTGCTTGTGGCTTGCCAGCTTTGGGCATGAATCTGAGTCCCTTCTGCCTCCCCACAATCACTTTTTCCTGGCTTCCTTTGAGGATAATTTTTCCACTGCTCCCAATTAACCAAGAGGATAGAGAAAGCTTCCTTAAACCATTTCACCTCCTCTGGAGAAGCCAGCTTGCCTTTGTAGTTCAGATAGGAACTCCTCAAAGGGAGGATATATGGGTCACTGCTGTCCACTGCCCAAGTTCAATTTATGGACTTGGTGGCTGTCCCTGGAAATACCACTCTAAATCCCATTTTTAGCCAAGTATGGGCCTTGCCTGTCTGGGGCTGGGCCCCAAAGGAGCCCAGCTGCCTGAGCAACTTCCCTCCCCCTCCAGGAAGCCTCTGCTAATTATCACCTCCAGAAAACAGAATAGGAGGCATAAAACCAGTAATTCATAAGGGATTTGGGAAGGAAAGAATTCCCTTAGGRAACTTGTCAGAATCTCTTCTGGAAGATTTTGTAATCACCATTCACCCGATCCCAAATAAGTGAGCCACTKCTTCTGGTAATGTTGATCTGGAACTGCACTGTTTAATAGGGTAGCTAATAGTCAGCCATGTGGTTATCAAGAGCTCAATGTGTCTAGTAAAAAACTCAATGAATTTTAGTTTTAATGCTTAAAAATATATAATATCTTGATAGTTCTTATATCAATTACATGTTGAAATGATAGTATTTTGGATATGTTGAATGAAATACAAATATTAARATTAATTTCACTTTCATTATTTTAAAAGTGTGGCTATATTAAAGTTACTTATGTGGATTGTGTTTGTTGTTCTCTTTATCTTTGGGCAGCACTAAACTAAAAGGTAACTTTCTTATTTTTTGTGTATTTGTGCATGCACCACATGATATTTAGATACAAACTAGTTCTGCCTGCCTGCAGCCTTTGCTTGTCAGATGGTTTGACATTGCTGCCTCACTCATAGATATGGAAGTGACTTCATTCATCCTTGCAGAGATTTTTCAACAGTCCCCAGCTGTCCTCCATCTTAAGCAGAAAGAGAAATATTCCTAAATGTGGAAAATAAAAATGAGATTTTCAAGGAGCCATGTCGTCAGCAATAACCTCAAATGGTCTATACATGCTCTCTTTTCTGAAGGTTCACTTTTCTTTTCAGAAACAAGCAAGTTCTCACTGATGCATTTTCTTATTGTTGCAGCTGCTGAAAGYAACCACTGGCCAGAAAGTAAGACTGAACCCCACATAGAAAATACCGTCTTTTATCAGAATCAAGCGGACTTTTCAACAGTGGACTCCAAAGAGGGCATGATGGTTCAGACCTCCGGAATGAGCCATGCATTTTCAGAGGCTCCAGAAAATCGTACTTTCCTAGTTGAAATGGCAACTGCTGAAGGAAGAAAYGAGTCTTCAAGTAGAACAAACTTCACTCAAATTTCACCTGAAATTGCAACAACTCTTACATCCCAGGGCAGCACCTTAAGTGAGTTTGTACTGAGGATGCTCATTTCATTTATGTATGTCCAGTGCTGGAAAATAACAATCTCTGCTACTGCCTTCTTCTTCATCTTGAGCAACTGTGCCCATCCAGGGGTCCTGGGCTGGAGTGGATCAGACCTGTGACTTAAGCCCCTGGCCTGTGGCTTGCTTGTAATATAGACCAGAGGAGGGTGCAGATTTGCTAAGTAATCTGGCCCATTCTGTGGTATCTACATTCCAGTCAGCCTGAATTCAAACCATGTCCCTCCTACATAGATTCTGCCACACAATACCAATCTCAGGGGCACAGATCTAGTGGGATGTGTGGCCAGGGAAGACTGTACTTGTTTATGTTTGTTGTGTTGGTGTGGTTTTGTTTGTGTTCATGTGGTTCAAATATCTGTTCTTGGTCCAGTCAGCATAGCTTGGAGGTTTGCTATTTTTAGGAAAGGCTTTCAAAGGGGGCTAGGGCTTCACGCATCAGACTTAATTGAGGAAGAGAAGTCAAAATAGCAATGTTTAGGTACTACTAGATACCAACATAACTATTTTAAGTCCTTATGAAAGCAGGTTATTCCTATTTTAGGAATTTAGAAACAAACTCTGAGAAGTTATTAGCCCAATGTTTGGAGGTCAAACAATTGACGGGGTTCAAAGCTAGAATTTGAGCCTATGTAGCTGAGTGAGGTGAGAAGGTTGACTAAGGAGTGGAATGCTCAATGTGATTGAAGGTACAGAAGAGACAAAGACAGGGGTGGCCTCTTTGTGGGGCAGTAGGACCAGCACCCTCCCTGTGGGAAGCATGATCAGCCAGTGGGACAGTTGTGTGAATGGGGAAGGGACAATCATGGAGGACTTTGCAAACCAGACAGTTTATACTTTGTGTGGTGAGAAGTCACTGAAGAGTTTTGCACAATGGAGTGATACTGGTAAAGCAGATTTGATGAAGATTCATCTGGCAGCCAGGTACAAGATGTCTGGTATGGACCTGAGAGGGTAGGGGGAGTCGAGGGTGGGGGGAGTCTAGAGTGGGGGGAACCACCCAAGTAGACACAAATCCAGGTGTTGACCTTGTGGCCACAGAGATGAAGAGAAAGGGCTTGGTGAAGACTCAGCAAAAGGAAGTTGGTAGTTAGTGAGGTTCTGAAAATAGAGGATAAAGCCAGCAAAGGTCACTCTGTGGTTTCATGACCTAGTGACAAGAGGTCTGACTGTGGACATTCGGTTTTTAAAAGAAAAACGTATGAAGGGATTTTGTGTCCCATGCATGAATGGTGGCTACAGAGCTTAGAAACTACACATAAAATTGCCTGGTTTTGTTGGTCATCCAAATATTGGGAACTCTTGTTTATGTTGAATTCAAGCCAATTCTGGGACCAACTTTGTGGGATGTGGGTGATGAATAATGATGATCTGACACTGGTCTCATAGGTCCATATCATCTGTTACTTAGCTTCAATCTGTCCCTTTACTTGTAATTTTATCCAAAAATGTAAACTCTCTGTCTTGTTTTGTGGCCTCCCTTTCAGGAATTCATTTTCCATAGAGTGAAAAATTGTTCTTGATTTCTTCACATCTATATATTTTGTAGAACTCAGAGTTGAGCCCATTAAAAGATTATGAAGACATTTGAAAGTCTGCTGGTGGAATTTTAATTGTTGCCCTCTGCTTTCAGGCTTGGAACGGCTTCAGCTTCCATCCAGCAGTTCAGGGTCAGAAGGAAGAACAGCCCCTTCTCAAACAGAGAGTGGAACACCCCAGGTCTCCCTGGAGAAGGGGACGGGGATGCCAGAAGAAGCATCTGTACACACCCAAATGGCTGGCACTTCAGATTCAAGCTGGTCTTCCTTTGCGTTGGAGCCAGGAGAACCCACTATGCTGTCGAGGAAAAGAAATTCCTTAGGATCAGAGCTCTCCGTCCTGCATTCCTCCAAGACAACTGCTTACCCTCCTTCCTCAGACCATTCCTCAGGTGAGTTCCCAGCTCACCTCTCCAGTCATTCAAAATAGCCACAAGTAAATATGTATAACTAGCTAGCTAAATACCTAAACAGGAGCTAAGGGGGAAATAAGCAAAAACAAACAAGCAAGCAAAAACAAGAAAAATTTAAAAAACATTCCTTTAGGGCTGGGGATGTGGCTCAAGCRGTAGCTTGCTCGCCTGGCACACGTGCGGCCTGGGTTCGATCCTCAGCACCACATACAAAGATGTTTTGTCCGCCAATAATTAAAAAATAAATATTAAAATTCTCTCTCTCTCTCTCTCTCTTTAAAAAAATTCCTTTAATGCTAAGTATTTGGGGTAGAAGTATAATCTACAGAGCTTATTTCAGTATGTTTAAAATATGTTTTCTTTAACTATACAAGAAAAAAATAATAGTTGGTCTGGTGGATGTGATGGGCCTTCTCTCCACCAACCCATGCTTCCTCCATCCCTCTCCCCTACACACACACACTCCCCCACCCCTCACACACACACACACACACACTCCCCCCCTCACATACGCACACACACACAAACAAACAAACAAAAAACAAAGGCTTAAGTGTTACTAGTGTATATTCTTACACAACAAGGTACATGCCAGGGTGCTTGTAAGAAATGGTGAGCACTATACCATCTGATTAGGAATTAGTTTTATTTCTTCAAGATTGCAAAAAYATTTCTTTAGTTGTCAAAGAAAACATGGGTATATGTTTTTTCTAGGCTTCATTTTGGGGAAAAAAATGCATTGCAGGTATTTGCAGGGCATGATATTAGTCACTATAGCTGTGGAGTACTCCTCTCTGCCATTCCACTTCCTACTCATCAGTTGAGTCTCAGCTCAAGAATTCCATTTCCATGAGCCTTTCTACACCTTCTGGTCCTTTGTGCTATACACCTTGTCATACCAGGTCATCCAAAGCCTACCCACTCAGAGACTGTAGTCCTCTTGGGAACACATGCTACTTCTATTACTTCTCCTAGGGTCCCTGCAGACCAAGAACAAGGTACAATTGAAAAGAAATAGGTATTAATATGTGCCCAAATACCCTCACAGGGCACATGCTGCCATGAGAATGCTGGAAAATGCCCTTTCCTCTCTTCTCAGGTGTTAGTTGGGGTCGGTGTCTACTGCTTGTTTTCATACTCAGGCAATAGGGAGCAGAACGGAGAGAGTCAGGAACCTTCTTGGGAAATTGAGGTTAGGTTGCTTCGGAAAATGCTGTTTTAAAATTCTTGTGTCAGAGATTTTTAGAGTGCTTTGTAAGACTAGAAGTTTTGGGCTTATGTCATCAAAGCAAAAACTGAACCCAGAGGTCCTTTTTGTAATGCCTATTTAAAGCAGCCAGTTCCTCTTCCATATACTTTGTAGACAGTTTCCTGCTGACTGGGGTTTGGATATAATTTATGATTCATATTTTAGGAGTTTGCTTTTTAAGATTATTCATAAACATTGGTTGGATTGGATAAAAGCTATGATTCTTTGCAGATTCAAAGTTCTGTGGTTCAGTGATTTATAACCAACTTTACCAAACAGTGGAAAGGAAGCATTTCCTAGGAAGCTCCACTTTGATTTTAGACAGGGTCATTTAATATCTATAATTTAAATTTAACCCAGTATGTGGTTTATTTGAAAATCAGCCCATGTTTCTAACTTTACTGGATACAACTATCTACTCACCTATATTTTTCAACACTTAAAAAAAATATTGCCCTCAAATTCTTTGAGCAATTGTCCTTTTAGAACCTTAGCATTCTAATATTAGGAGATTTCTATCACATCTTTCATATTCGAGCCTTCTACTGAGAATTTCTCTTCCTTGGTGAATTAGGTATTCTGCTCTAGGTAAAGTCAGACCACCTTCTTAGATAATGGAGAGGGCTTTTGGGAAGAAGACACATGGAACAGAATCTGAAGTCCAAGGAGAAACAAAGTTCTGCTTTATTTTTTAAAAATTTTTTGTATTTTTAGTTGTAGATGGACACACACCTTTATTTATTTGTTTATTTGTTTGTTTRTTTAATGCGGTGCTGMGAATTGAACCCAGGGCCTCACACATGCAAGGCAAGTGCTCTACCACTGAGCCACAACCCCAGCCCAAGTTCTACTTTATTTTTAAAGCTGGGCTGGCGCCTGTCAATCCACCAAACAGAGCTCTATATACCTCTTACCTACCCTGAGGGGAAATATTGAGCTTTTATTCTCCCTTTACCTTCCCATGATRAAGTTGATGTAAGTACTTGGGAGAGCCATCAGGACCTGCCAAGGCAGACCTGGAATTGGCCTGGCCTAGCTGGGCTAGCTCTGTAGAACAACAGAAGTGAAGGGGTGCAATAGAGACTTGAGCCTTTTTTAGGATTTTTTTTTAAGTTATAGATGGACACAATATTTTTATTTTATTTGTTTATTTTTATACGGTGCCRAGGATCGAACCCAATGTGCAAGGCAAGCATTCCACCACTGAGTCACAACCCCAGCCCAAGGCTTGAGCCTTTTGGCACTTGTCCACTGCATCTTCTGGTAAATGTCCATTCCATCCTCTGGTAAATGTGACCCATAGAAAAGCCTGGCACTTAGACTAGTCAGATTAGTGACACTCTTCACAAGATGGACATGAAGATGGCGAGCTAGGAGCCTGGCACAGGGAGGATGGGGTTCCTCATTGAAAACATCAGACCAGATGATCTGAAAGATCCTTTCTAGTTTCACCATCTGAGAGTCCACACACACTCGGCCTTTGTCTCCTTTCACTCCTACTGATCCACCCAGAAACATGTGTAGCCTAGCCTTTTCCCAGGCTGGGATAGCCAGGATTTATCTGCTTCTGGAAATAAACTGTACATCACTAAAGCAGGCAGCAGAATCAGACTTTAAAAAAACAGATCAGAAACCATTTAAAATTATTTTTTGTGCTGCTTTATACTTTTCTGTATTTTCCATATCGATCATGTACTATTTGATCATTGGAGGAAAAGTATACAAAGCAACAAACAAAGGGGAAAATTTTCTTTGGAAGGCAGGAAGAAATATGTGTATGTTGAACTGTGTGAGAATGGCTACAATTGAGGACTAAATTTAGTCTGAGCTTCCTGGAAACCAGGGCACAAAAGGAAGCTGGGTGGGGCATGCGATTGTTGTCAGATAAAGTAAGCATACAATTTAATCCATAGGCATAAGTGTTTGGRGGGTTGTAATTCTAAGAGGAATATTTACAAGGAATGTTGAGAATCATAATGGAAAATGCCTTCAATTGCCGTTTTGTGGAAATTGTGCTAATGTTCTTTAAAAGGTGATATTTTATATAGATTCTCAATAGGAGTGGAAAGTATTATAATGGATCTCAACTTATGAAAGTATTTCTGTGGGTAGCTGAGCTGATGTGGTCCAGGTAAATTGCATTGTGGTGATTTCACTTTGTAAAGGGAGAAAGTATAAATAACTTAGATGATTTTAGATTTAGCCTATCCTTCTCAAATATCAGCTGCTTCATCTATACTATTGCCAAGTTCTGGATAGCATTTTGATGCATACTTGTGATTGTGCGGTGACTGGAGAGTGACCCATATACCTTTACCAGGCATTCTTTTCACCTTCTATTATAAAGACTAGGAACTTGGCTTGTGTCTGCTCCTGGTGGATGAATGGTCTTCCCATTTTAGTTGTTTTGTTTTTGTGGTAATGAGAATCAAACCCTGAATCTTGCAAATGTTAGGTAAGCATTCTACCACTGATCTACATCCACATCCCTGGTCTTCCCATTTTTTAAAAAAAATGTTTCTTTTTTTAATATGTTATTTTTAGATATATGTGACAGTAGAGTGTGTTTTGACATAGTTTACACACATGGAGCATAACTTATTCTAATTAGGATCCCATTCTTATGGTCGTACGTGATGTAGAGTTTCAYTGGTCATGTATTCATGTATGAACATAGGAAAATTATGTCTGATTCATTGGTATTCCCATTTTTGAATGGGTGCTTTAGAGGCAGAAGCGAGCAAGGAAGGGAAATTATTAAAAAATTAATAATACTGGCCTGTTGACTAGAAGTGTGGTRAATTTTCTCTTAGGTTATTTAGCTGGTGCTCATTTAGTAACATAATTAACAATTGTAGACTAATTTGACCCCATATTTCCTCTTCTTTATTAAGAGGCACTAACTCTACAATTTTCAGACAAATTTCATTGCTTTACTATGGGCATTAAATGTGACTAGTATATAAATACTTAGTACAATTCTTGACACATCATAACTCRTCAATTAATGATAACTTTTTGTAAGAATGATATGATGAAGAAGCAATGTGCTACAGAGCCCATAGTCAGGGAGAACAGCCATTTTCCTTTTGTGACTCAGTATCTGTGACATTAGTGATTATATTTCTGTGGCCATTTATTTGATGAAACCACCAAAATTAATCACCTGTATTGATGGAAACATCAAATGGAAGAAATAAGGCAATTTACTAGGAATAAAAGTGTTTTGGAAGTAATTCCTTGGAGATAATTATTTTGGGCCAGTATTTATTATGCTTTTCATTTTTCATACTAAAGTGCTTTTTGTTTTCAAGTAGGGTTAGTTTGGGGTAGGCCATGCCTACACTTTTCTGTTTGGATCTTTCTATTCCTTTGTTTCAATTCCTAGTTTTATGGATAACCTGCATCTTCATTTTGACTTTATTAAAGCCAGTAACCAGAGCTGCATGCTGTGTTCTAGGTTTAGCTAGGTTTATGGTTTTGTATGAGGATAAGACCTTTTGCTTCCTATGTTCTTTCTCTATAATTATATTTAAAATTTTATTTGTGCTTTGGTCACAACTGCACACAAGTCTGATCTTTAAGAAACTGTTTATAATGACAACTTCCTTTCCCCCCTTTCTGGATCATAATTAATGGCTCAAAGCCTTTTGTTATAYAGGCATAGAGTATGTTTATGTATAAAGTACTTTTTATTGTTTTTAGCTTAAAATGATTTAAAAGAAAAAAGGAGTCTGTTTTCTTCCCTGCCATGTTTCTTCCTGCTCATGGGCTTTCTTGAAATTAGGAATGAGTATTTTGTTGTTGTTATTGTTGTGGTGCTGGGAATAGAACTCAGGGCCTCATGCATACTAGGCAAGCACAATGCCACTGAGCTACATCCCTAGCCTTTTGGATTAGGCTATTAATATACCATTCTGGAGGTCAGTTCTCAAGATATCCTTTGAAAAATTCTCTGTGAGAGGGAGCCACTAGCAAKCCAAGCAACCTATAATGTGGAGCAGACTGTACATTTTGACCAATGGCATGTAATTCAATTCTTGAGGTTCTTGACAATTATCCAGTGACCTCCATCCATGGATCAGAAAAACCATTCCTCATCTGCAGTTCTTGATCTCCTAGGGGACCTACTGGAGTAGCATGTTGGGTTAAGAGCTGGTCTCCAATGTTTAATGAGACTAAATAATTATAATAATGAAGGCCGTCTTGTTTCGGGTGAAATTAAGTTAAATTCATGGGGTAATAATGAGTATCTCCTGATGTTGAGACCTTCTGTTACTTAATTAATACATTTTGGTTGATAGTTATTTCAAAACAAAATTTATGGTGGCTCTGGGTTGGGGAAGAATAAAGAGCCCTTGACAATGAAAAGGATGGGAATTACTGTCCTAGAGCAGTAGTGTCCTAGCTGTATTCTGCAGAACCTGAGGCCTCTTCAGTGGTGACCAAGGGGCTAGGCTTGGCACCATGTGACTTTTATTCATTTTTAATTGGATTTTAATTTATAATAATACTTGAAKAAAAAGATACGTAGTTAAAATAAAATAAAACAAGATGRAAGCCTTAACACAATAGCCTGTCCTGTTTAAGCAATATTATGAAATTCAGTAGTACTAATTTTATCTTCTTCTATAAAAACCAAAAAAGCAAATAATGTATCTGTTATGATTCTCTTATCTTCCTTTTAGCTTGCACAGAAAGCTTTGCATTGTGCTGCATGAGGAACATCACTGCTTCTCCACTRAGCTACATGAGAATCAGAACTAGTGAGGAGGGGGTGAAGGTGTATGTTTTAGTTGTACATGTGTGTAAACATACACAATTGTCTGTATCTACATCAGGTCCAATAGTGTTTAGATTTATATTAAAAAATATAATAAACATTATTTTTGACTTAGATAGTGCCAGATTTTCTTGAGTCCTTGAGTAGTTTTGAAACATATTTTCTTCTGTTTTAGCTTCTGGGAATATAAAGGAACTGAACAACTCTATTGCTCTCCAAAGTCCACTGGTCAACCAGACAAAGAGTACACATGTTGCCACCACATTCACTGACAGTGTCTCAAGGATTCTYAGGTCTTTGACTGTCAGTCTGGAACCTATAAACAAGACAGAGAGTTTCCCTAAGGACTCCAAAATTGCCACAACTTCAGTTTCAGTCCCTTCCTCACCCTCTACAGTAGAATCAAGAAGTAACAGTAGAGTAACCAAGAATCCAGGAGATGGAGAATTCATTGAGCCATCTACAGAAAATGAATTTGGTGTTACATCTTTACATTGGCAAAATGATTCCACAAGTAAGTATTCTATCTTTACTTGATCTGTAAAGATATTTCTAAATAGCAGATCTCTTTAAGAACATTTGTAGCCTCTGAAAAATTATGTACTCTTTGATGACACCAGCTCCTTCATTAGTATATCACATTATTGCATTTTGATTTTCATTCTTATGAAAACATTGTGAAGTTAGTTGGACAGGTGCCACCCCTCCTGCTTTTTTTATAGGTGAAGAGCAGGTTTAAGTAATGCATGCATTGGCTCACTCAGCAGAGTTGAGACCRGAGCCTTAGGGCTGTCACTTGATTCTATCTTGTTTTTAACCCTACAGCATTGTCTTCAAAGTGAGAGCTGACCTAATCCTTACAACTAGCTTCAGTGCTTTTATGATCAGATCTTTACAAATAAATGTRCAGAATAAATATAGTTCTCAAGTTCTTGGTTTGGTTTACTCCCTATAGTTGATTTTTTAAAAACTACTTMAGGATTAGGATAATCTTTATTAATATTACAACTGTTTTAGAAAAGTGATGTATGTGCTATATTTATGCACATCATATTTGTTGGATATAATGCCGTACTCATTTCCTCAAACTACTTTTCAAGGGACAGAGAATAAAATACTCAAGTATAAATTACTTTGCTATTTGCACATGCTGTTTAAAAGTCCCCTGTTCAAAAAACTTTTRTTTTTTGGTATTGCTATCTTGTCGACACCAAGAGTTTGAAAATAATGATTTAGAATATGATAATGTTTGTCACATTCAATAAATATTAAACAAGATTTCTGTGGAAAAAGATATCTTAAAGAAGACTCACTTCTTAGTTGTTGGAGGATCTTTTTCATACGCATATAATGGCATTTTTGTTTATATACTATCTCACAGCCTTTAGAGGACATCAGCTTGCCAGCAGCTCTCAAGTGAAAAATGGAAGTTTCAGGCTTCAGACTGAGACTGTGTCTAGGTCAGTTCCCTCCATTAGATACGAAGAGAGCACAGCACACTGGTCCTTGACCAACAGCAAGACATTCGMAGATGTGACAGGAAGCTCTGCTTCACATCCTGAAGTTTTGAACTCTTCAGTTTTGACCCAAGCTTCAGATTCTGCTCAACAGTCCAGAAGAGGTACCACAGTGTCAGATGAGAGAAGTTATTCAGAGTCTTCGTTTATATCTTCCTCAGAAATCCTAGATTCTTCAACGCTACATGGAGAAAATTCAAGTAAGTTTTCATTTCACAGGATGGTACCACATGGAAGGTGAGAGACTTAACAATGCTTATGACTGACTGTGGCATATTAAGTCATCTATTAAGGAAATAGCTCCTGAGGCCCCTCTAGTATCATTACTCTCAGGCCATTCTTATAGCTGATTGACAGATGTACATGTATATCTTATCATATTCCATACTATTCACATACAACTCAAGGTCTCTCTGTCTATGTACTCCTTTTCTTTGTTGCCCACCCTGTATCCCCATACCTGCCTCAATCATAGAGCTTCTGAAAGGTGAAAATATCACCTTCTCATGAATTGTTGTTCACTCCAGGTCCTTCATAGCATTCATTGAAAAATACTCTCTCCCCTCCTCTTTTTTAAAGTAGATTTGAGATATAATTCACATTCCATACAGTGTGCCTATTTAAAGTGTACAATTGATTTTTAGTATATTTACAAAAACTGTACAATCACCACTACTATCTAATTCCAGAACATTTATATCACCTCCTCCCCCCAAAAAAACTCCATACTTATCAGCAGTCACTTCCCATTTTACCCTCCTTCCAGTTCCTGGCAACCACTTAATTTTCTTTCTGTCTCTGTGGATTTGCCTGTTTTAGACATTTCCTGTAAATGGAATCTTATAATATATAATCTTTGTTTTTCACTTAATGTAATGCAATGTTTTCAAGATTCATCCATAYCCCAGCATATATTCATTTCTTTTTATGACAATATTCTATACTATAGGGATACACTGTATTTTATCTTTTCATCAATTGGTATATGGTTCCCACCTTTTAGCTTTTTTTTTTTTAATTTTTTTTTTTTTTAGTTGTAGATGGACAGCATGCCTTTGTTTACTTTTATGTGGTGCCTTACACATGCTAGGCAAGTGCTCTGCCACTGAGCTACAGCTACAGCCCCTACCTTTTAGCTTTTATGAATAATGCTGCTGTCAACATTCCAAGTACAAGCTTTATGTGGACATGTGCCCTTTTGGAACTGCCACATTTTTAAAGCAACGCCATTTTTAAGCTTCTGAGGGATTGCCAAGCTATTTTCCAAAGTAGTACACCATTTTATATTCCTCTCAGCAATGTACAAGAGTCCCAGTGTCTCCATATCTTCACCAACACTTGTTATTATCCATCTTTTTTGATTATATCCATGTTATCAGTTTGAAGGGTATTTCATTAGTTTTCTTCTGCATTTCCCAGCCGACTGATGATGTCAAATATCTTTTCACATGCTTGTTGGCCATTTGTTTTATCTTCCTTGAAAATGTCTATTCAGATATTTTGAGCATTTTGAAACTGGCTTGTCTTACTCTAGAGTGTAAGAAGTCTTTGCATATTCTGGATACTAGTCCCTTATCAGATGTATGATTGACAGGTATTGTCTCCTGTGTGTTACCTTTTTACTTTCAGCCCGGGAACACAGCGTGGCGCGGGCCTACAGTTCCGCTGCAGAGGGGAGCACTTCCGGGGCTCACTCCCGCAGCGGGCACACCTGGGCTGCTCTCACCGGAAGTGGGGAGCGCACTCTGCGGTCACTCAGCTTCGCCCCTGCCGGCGCCACCTCTGCGGAAATGGGGAGTTCTGCGGGCGCCACTCAACGCGGGAACGTGACAGAGCGGGCGGGCTTGCTCTCAAGGTCGCCCGCCTCTGAGCCTACACTTGGAGGTGGTGTGTCTTCCCCAACAAGGATTCTCTCCACAGCCCCTCAGCCCACCTGGCACTTTACTCAGTTCTAGGATGATTAAGTTGGCTGGCAACCCAGAGAATATCCTACTAGAAGCTCTTTATGTAAATAGGACTTTTGGGGTTCTCTCATCTCAGGAAGGCACCCCTCATCCCCTCACATACTTGATGAGGCATATGGGGTGACGTCTGCTGGGAGGCTTAAAATAAAAGACCAGACCAGTCACTTTGTGGCTAAGATCAGTCTCCTGGGAAAGAAATATCTCATTATACAGAATGGAAAGTTGGGAGGGTTTTTCTTTTTCCGTTTAAGCATAACAATGATTCTATTTGGGATCTTGAGAGCTTTTCTTTTTTTTTTTTATTGTTGGTTGTTCAAAACATTACACAGTTCTTAATATATCATATTTCACAGTTTGATTCAAGTGGGTTATGAACTCCCATTTTTACCCCATATACAGATTGCTGTATCACATCAGTTACACTTCCATTGATTTACATATTGCCATWCTAGTGTCTGWTGTATTCTGCTGYCTWTCCTATYCTCTACTATCCCCCCTCCCCYCCCCTCTTCTCTCTCTACCCCCTCTACTGTAAATCATTTCTTCCACTTGTATTATTCTTCTCTTACCCCTCCTTTCCTCTTATATGTAATTTTGTATAACCCTGAGGATCAACTTCCATTTTCATGCAATTTCCCTTCTCTCTCCCTTTCCCTCCCACCTCTCATCCCTGTTTAATGTTAATCTTCTTCTCTAGCTCTTCSTCCCTACCCTGTCCTTRKTTMCTCCCCTTATATCAAWGRAGTCATTTGGYATTTGTTTTTTAARGATTGRCTAGCTTCACTTAGCATAATCTGCTCTAATGCCATCCATTTCCCTCCAAATTCTATGATTTTGTCGTTTYTTAATGCAGAGTAATACTCCATTGTGTATAAATGCCACATTTTTTAATCCATTCATCTATTGAAGGGCATCTAGGTTGGTTCCACAATCTTGCTATCGTGAATTGTGCTGCTATGGAGAGCTTTTCACATACAAATTTGCTTTTATCAAAGAAAAGGCATGTGGAAGGAATTTGGAACTATTCCCTATTTTTAGGCCCCTGCCATTTCTCTTGTATTCCATGTTCATTGCTGCCACCATGGCCTTCACAGGAGGTAAATCTACCCGGCAGACAGTGACTGTTACAGCCTTCTCATGTTGCCATTCAGTGTGTTCACCACTGAAAACCCCCTCTCCAAGGAAAGTATTTTACTCACTTGAGTTCAAGGATACTGAAAAATCTGGATTTTGGTGCATGTTTCAGAGATTGCTTGTTTGTTAACTTGACCTAACTTTGKCTTTTCCCTTTGCAGTTACTGGACTTAGCTATGGTCAAGTGAGTGGCACAGATACTGAACAAAAGACTTCTAGTGACCACACAGACCACACCTATGTTTCATCTACTTTCACCAAAGGAGAACGGGCATTAYTGTCCATTACAGATAATGGTTCATCCTCGGATATCAGTGAAAGCTCAACCTCTTATATTAAGATCTCAGACTCTCCATATTCAGACTATTCTTCCTCTTCTCATCAATCTGAAAGAAGAAACATCTCATCCTATGATGGGGAATATGTCCAGCCGTCCACTGAGTCACTGGCTCTGCATACATCCAGCCTTCCATCCTACACTTCTACCATTAATATACCAAAAACTTCAGTTTTTGTGGATGCCAGGACTGGGTCTGTTGGTGACTCATCTTCTGCTTTGGGCCCCCATTTGCCTCTGCCCTCAGTGTCACAATCCCACCAGTTATTCTCATCAAGTTTACCATCAACCAAGGCCTCTGCTTATCAGCTGAAGTCTACCTCTGAGACATCTACACCTTTGTCTTCCTCACCATCACCTTTACCAGTGTCCTTAACAGCTTCTTCTCCTGCCCCACTTTCTGTCTCACAAACAGACTTACTACATTCATCTACCCCAGTCCTGCCCAGGGCAAGAGAGATGCCTAAGACTTCAGTTCAGACATCAACAATGGCATCATCCATGATAATTCTCCATAGTAGTAACACAGCAGATCCCAAGAATCAGACCATCCCACAACAAAAGAAAATCATTACAGAAGCAAAGTCACCAAGCCTGGTGTCTCTGCCCACAGTATACACCAAAGTTGTAACAGTGAGTGCTCCTTCAGGGGACCCTTTGCCCCCAGCCTTAACTGAGTCCTTCACTAAGCCAKCCCTTCCAGCCATGAGCACCAGCTTAACCCAAATGTCTCCAACTTTGACAGCTACCACTCTGAAGACCTCTCACTCTTCTGTGACCAATCCCAGCACCTTGTYAAGTACAGAAGTTCTGATTACTGACCCCATATCTGGACACACTACAGCTGGAAAACAGCTCTTCCCAACCAATCCTGAAATTCTGGTGCCACAAATCTCAACAGAAGGTGCCATTACCACAGAAAAGAACCATGTGCATATTGATGTTACCACCCACTTAATCTCTCTGACCAGTGTACCAACATCAACAAAAGAATTGACCACAAGGCTTGGTATCACAGAAGAGTACAGCTCACCTTCACATTTCCTCAGAACTTYTCCTCCTTCCCAAACCACAGATGTTTCTACAGCTGAAGTGTTAACTCCTAAACCTACCACCTTTGCTACTCAGAGTAGCACACAGTCCTCAATGGCATTGTCACCTCCAACATCAGGTACAATGCATCTTTCAAACACACATCAACTGCTAGACCCTGTGCAACACTGTAAACTGCATGAGGCTCAGGATTTAAGTGAATGTGTAGAAATGGCTAGTATTTGAAATAATCTCAGTTTTGTGACCAATACTTCCTGTTGAAAACAAAGCATAAAATAAGGTCATGGTGGACTCTCATTTTCTTATTTCCCCAAGTTAGGTGATACTTCCTGAAGAGAAGAGGACATATTGGTTGTGTGTGACATCAGTATAGTGCAGTTGAAGCTTTTAATGCCCTGTAATTAATTGCAATAGTTTTTCAAGCATGCCCTTAACTTCTTGGATTAGAACCAGGCAAGGTGTAGATTTGGATGGTAGAGAAACTGAAGAAGCTTTAGGTAGCCTGTGTGAAACAGGGAGTSAGTCAGGTGCAAGCACCCAGATCAGAGCCCAAAGTTTCTGAGTCAGTCATCTGGCTCTCCAATCACCAGGAGGCATCTAAGGGTCAGAGGGCTTTTCTTGGTCCAGAAAAACTCATGCTACTTTGTCTTTCTAAGATTATTTTGCTAGTTGATAAACAGCAGTAGAGGGACATATAAATAAAAAAGATGATGAACTTTTTCCCCACAGTGACTGCATCATCAGGGATTTTTTACATTGTATGTATGGTTATCTTTAAGTCATGTTGAAGTTGATGGTACAGAAAAAAATAAAGTCATCCAAATGATTATTTGTCACATAAGGGAAAGTAGAAGGAAATAGGATGATACATATTGYTGGATATCATGTTCAGAATTGTAGTTTTGGTATGTGTAGATCCACAAAGAGAAAACTGCTGTGGAGGAAGGCACAAGATGGAGACTAATTCTTTAAGGAAAAAGGAAAGAAAGGAAATGCTTTGTATTAACTGGAGCATGGAATGAATGATATAGTGATATAGGTGGTCAGCCTATATCAGACAGGGGTGTCTCCTGCTATSAGTCACAATCAACCCTAGGGTGGAGGTCATAAACTACCCTCACTACCAATCTTATGGTGTTCCCTGTGTAATTTGGGTATCTCCGGAAGATGAGAGATGGCTTTTTTGGCCTTGCTTTAGGACACATTGTCTTTATTTCCAAAGGCCARATGTGTATTTCAATACTAAATGTACCATAATTCACAAGGCTCCTTAAAGTAAATTATGGCCATTGTAATTACTGTAGACAGGTCTTAGGGACATTCTCACTGGCTGTTAAGAATTTTTTTCTGTATCATTGTGTTCATGGGTATTGGTTATACAGGTACACTACTTGAATAGATGATTTTACACTGAAGAGAAGATTAAGAATATCATCTTTAGGTTTAGTCTGTTCATTTTCTTTTGGCGAACTCTTGACTTCTGTCCTCTTTTTTGCATTCTCCCACTAATTTCCTCCTTGCAGATGACACAGTTACGTTGTAGGTTTCAACTTTTCTAGGTTTATGTCAAAACCTTTATGAAGCAGATGTTACATAACTGGATTGTGACATTTCCAGTTACATAGASCAAAACAGAGTTATGGTCATTGCCTTTGGGGGATATAAGTCTATGTGTCATAAGGGCCTCCATGAATTCAGCTGAGGCCCATTTTTTGCTTTATTTAAAGAGAGAGGTCATTGTAATGCTCAACTCTGATCATTTTCTGAATGATGTACAATATGTGGAGTTCCAGTTATATTTGGAGATTTTGGGATAAAGGTTGCTATGTCCAGGAGAAAAGGCAAGGCACCCATACACACAGAGTAAATCTTGCATCAGAGAGGATGAATTGATCAGAGATTCTTTCCCCCCTCTTAATGTGTGTTTTAAATTGGCATTGATTCAAGTAGAATTTTCTAAGTATCACAAAAGTAATACAATCATCAGTCCTGAACTGAGTGACTGAATAAGCAACATTTGATTTGAATCAGTTCTTGAATTCAGGAATCCAATTGTCTTATGTATGGACACAAACTATTACCAGTACCCAGTCCTACTGCCAATCTTCTACATCTCTTGGGACCTCATTCTATTTTTGTAGTATGTCTTTTCAGGGCAAGTAAATAGAAATAAGCAAGGATCAAATATTAGCTGAGAGAATTAAATATTTACCTAGGGTTGTCTTTGCATTGCCATTGTGATTAACTGTGTTATTCTTGGATGGGTTTTTAAGTCAACAGCTGTGCCGTGAACCCTTGTCTTCATGATGGCAAATGCATTGTGGACCTCACCAGCAATGGCTATCGATGTGTGTGTTCATCTTCCTGGCAAGGAGATAACTGCAGTGTGGGTAAGAGAAAAAATAATATCCAGTATCTGCAGTATCACATTTGGTTATTCAATAAATGCCTTTTTCGTCCAAAATGTAGAAGAATAAGATCTTTTAATTAATACCCTGCTTACTTGAGAGTTAGCATGTTTGTGTGTTATCTGCAGAGTAACATGAAATACCATAGTGTAGTGCTGACAAACTTCCTGATTTGGTTCTCCCCACGTTCCTGCCACACTAGACCACCTATTGCTCCCTAAAGACACCTGCATTTTCCTGCCTCTGGCATTCACAGTACTGCTGCCTCAATATAAAATTATCCTACTCAAATTTGTTTATTAAAAATTCTTCCAGTCTTAATCTGGATGTTATTTGAAATAGTCTTAATTCTTTCCTCCATCAAAATTTGTTACTTTCTCTGTACTTCAGATCATATCTTGTATTTTAATTAGTTGTTTATTGACTGCCTCTGCCTTCAATAGGTGGTCAGCCCCTTGAGAACAGGGATGTTTCCTACTCATCTTTGGGGCCCCATTGTATCTCATAAGTGCAGTGGTCCTTAGTAAGTATTTACMGTACTGGGGTATGATTTTGCTGTCTGTCACAGACTCAATATGGTCTTTTTCCCCCCCTCCTTTGCAGATGTGAATGAATGCCTGTCAAATCCCTGCCCACCTCTGGCCACATGTAATAATACTCAGGGATCTTTTACCTGCAAATGCCCAGTTGGGTACCAGTTGGAAAAAGGAATATGTAATTTGGGTAAGAGATTTTATCTTAGAATTTATTCTGTCTCACGATATATTTTATAAAACATCATTTACTATTTTTCTTTCTAATCAAAATTAATATTTCTCCATGATAAAAACTTAAGGAATGTAAAATGAAATGGAAGACATTGCCTATTGTTATTTGCTTTACCATTCTACCCTGCAGTTAGGGGRAAAAAATTAAAAAATATTCTGATTGGGCTGGGGATGTGGCTCAAGCTGTAGCGTGCTCGCCTGGCATGCATGTGGCCCAGGTTGGATCCTCAGCACCACATACAAACAAAGATGTTGTGTCTGCTGAAAACTAAAAAATAAATATTTAAAAATTTCTCTCTCTCTCTCTCCCCCTCCCCCTCTCTCCCTCCCTCCCTCTTTCCCTCCCTCTCCCTCTCTC